ACCAATTTGCAAGCAATAACATCTCATTGTTACTGAATCTTGCCTCTTAATATGCAGTTTCCTCTGCTCCCCGAAAGAAATTTATTGACACATTGAAGATTCATTTATTGAAACATATAAGATTATTAGGTGGCTTGGCAGAGTAGATGCAGAGACCTTGTTTCCCTTTGCAGGTGAGTCTTGGACAACAGCGCATCAGCTCAGTTTAAGGAGCTGCCTATTTAAGACAGCAATGAGAAAGATTTTTTTTCCATCTTCTCCACTACTACAGAGTATATATTACACATCTGTCAATCCCTCATGACATTCCTGATAGGCCTCCAGCATTCTCATTCTCAATTGTGGTCTTTCAGTATTTTGTGTTTGTATCCAGCTGAGTGCTATCTGCCCACAAACCTCTGGCCCCCACTTCCCCAGCTGAGAACTGTCCACAGATGTTCCTACCACCAGTGGAAGAGTTGGTGGTACATTGCAACATCACTGTATTAGTAATCCAGGCGCAAATCTTAATCTTCTAGGGAAATGCTTTCAAATCCCATCATTGTAGTTGGTGTAATTTAAAATCAATTCATGAAGAATCTGCAGTTGAAAAGTAGTAATCGTGGTCACAGCAATATCATCAATTGTTATAAAAGCCTATCTAATTCAGTAAAATCCTATGGAGAAAGAATTCTGCCATCCTTACCTGATCTGGTCTTACATGTAGCTCTAGACTACAGCAATGTGTTTATTTCTAAATGCCTGATATGGCCTAGCAAACCACTCAGTTCAAGAATAATTATGGATGAGCAACAAATGTTGACCTTGTCAATGATGTCCACCTCCATGAAAGGATATATTTTTTTAATCTTCTCTATCTCACTTTTGAATTGTAAACAATGAAACAGTTGTATCACATTGCAAGTGGTTTGTGTGTAGCAACAGTGGCTGAATATTTGGGGAGGTTGGGAAGTGCAGAGAAATCAAAGGATGGCATCTGCTGAAATCTAAGTAGGTGTGAAGAGAGATGAATGTGCTTGCGAAAACAGAATGAAATAGAGTTCTCGGCAAAAATGTATGTACTAGTTAGCGATGTACTTTTCACTAACCTGGTTATATCATAAAACTACTTTCTGTACTGCATCTAAGACCAGGACAAGAGGCACTGCTGGTCACTTCATCAGCAACTCCAACTATGTTTATTGGTGATAGCTACAGATTTCTTCATTCATTGCGGAGATAAAGTATGCCTCTTCTCTAAGTGACTGCAGCATCCAGCAGTAATTCCAGGAAAATATCACTGAGCCTGAGTGCTGCCCTTGTTCTCTGTGCATGCATTTCTGCTCTGGTCCTTGAGATAGTGGACTTGACATTACATCAGGCGAGTCAGCAGCATGTTTTTTGCACAAATTGAAGGGAAAACATGGAAATCAAAATATATTGCCTGAATCATTTGAAATGGAGGATCTGACTCGCTGACTTTACCATGGGTTTCTCTCAACCATCATCTCCCAACCTTCCCTCCTGCTTGTAACCTTTTGCATTAACATGAGGAATATATTGTAACCTTCCACATCTATTGCCTTTAACTTATTTCCTTGGTCACTTGTTTTATTGTTAATGCACGAAATATATTTACTGTGGTTTCAATTCAATGTAATGTTTACAAATAATTCAATCAATAATCCATTAATGTGGCTTTCATAGTTGAGTGTTTCTTTCCATTTTTGCTTAAAAGGGTCAATTTCAATTCACAAGGGCCATAACATAATTATATTTTGCTTCTTGCACAAAAGTTATTCACCTTTTGTTTGATTCTTGCTGATTCCAGCAGTGTTCATATGCGGTGTGAGTGTATCCTTAAAGGAAACAGTGATTGAATTTAGTATCCAAGAAACTTAAAGTGGATAGAACACAATACAATAAAAATTTATTGTCACATGTACTTTTACATGAAAAGTACAGTGAAACATTTTAAAACTTGCCCTACCATGGCACCTACAACATTGGCAGAAGTCATACTTAATAATAAAAAAATACAATTGTGACAAAGTTCATCACAGTTCAGTTAACTCAGGAAAAGTTGACTTAGGAACAATGGAATACCCCGAGCCGGGCCGAGATTGCCATGCCATGCTGGTGAATACTATGCTGGAGGATTCTCCCAAAGAAGATCACCATGCTGGGCCAAGACTGCCACTCTTGGATAAGACCGCCTGCTAGGCCATTGGAATACCTGGATGCTGAAGACAAGAAGACCTCCAAACTGGGACGAGACCTCCACTTTGCGTCAAGACTGCCACAGGAGGAGCCTGCCACGTTGGGCCGAGATTAAAGATCAAAAAAAATCAAAATTCAGCCCACAATAAAACTCTCAGGAAGAACCCTTTGAAAATAAAATTTTAGCCCCTGCTAGAAATCTTCCAGTCCATCTGCAAGTTCTTCAAGGAAGAATAAATTTTGTCCTTCAGCAATCACTACTTCCTCAACAATTGGAGAATGAAGTTGTCTATTTCCAAGTTGCTGCCCTGCAAATGAGAATGCTGCATTGCTGTTTTCTCTAGGCCAGCATTTATTGCCCATCCCTAACTGCCCAAAGGGCAGTTAAGTGTCAACCACTGCTGTGGGTCTGGAGTCAGATGTAGGCCAGAGCAGGTAAGGATGGCAGTTTCCTTCCCTAAAGGACATTAGTAAATCCAGATGGGTTTTTCCAACAGTTGGCAATGGATTCATGGTCATCAGTAGACTCTTAATTCCAGATTTTTTGTATTGAATTCAAATTCCACCATCTGTCATGGCGGGATTCAAACCCAGGTCCTCAGAACATTACCTGTGTCTCTGGAGAATACCACTAGCCCATTTCCTCCCCTGTAGACAGCATGTCTAGCTTTGTTGCTGGAAATTGTACATCTGATGATGGCTGTGACCTCCTAGTGCCTATAATTCTACTGCCATTCACTGGCCAGTTGCTGCTTCTTGCTGGCTCTGACCAGCGGCATGTAGCCAACACCTGGGAGTCGGATCGTCCAATCCTCTTTTTCTTTTGGCTTAAGGATTTGCTGTGCATTCGGTTCCTGACTTCATCTACCCAGATTTCACAAATGCTGTCCACCATCCACAAGGCACAAGTGAGGAGTGCCATGGAATACTACACACTTGCCTGGATGAGTGCAGCCCAACAACACTCAAGAAGCTTGACACCACACAAGAGAAATCAGCCCGTTTGTTTGGCACAGCATCCACTAAACATTTACTCCTTCCACCACTGACATACAGTGGCAGCAGTGTGTACCATCCACAAGATGGATTTAAGAAATTCACCAAGGTTCTTCAGGCAGCACTTTCCAAATCCAAACTATTACCACCTAAAAAGACAAAGGTAGCAGATACATGCGAACAACACCACCTGCAAGCCATTCATCTTTCTGACTTGGAAATATATTGCCGCTTCCTCATTGTTGCCAAGTTAAACTCTTAGAAGTTCCTCCTCAGCAGCTCTGTTGGTGTGTCTACACAAAATTGCTTGCAGCAGATCAAGAAGTCAGCTTACCACCATCTTCTGAAGGGTAACTATGGATGGGCAATAAATGCCCCAGCCAGTGATGCTGACATACCATGAATGAATGAGAAAAGTCTTCCCTGATTCTTGATGTAGATTAAAATTTGAGATTTGATGTTTGTAGTTTTAAATACTTTACTATTATTGCATGAATTATTAAGAACTGAATAAAGCTAGTTCTACATAGTGCTAAGTGCTTTTGTATTACTTCTCCAAAAAAGTGGATTTTCTACTTTTGTCATTAAGCTGTATGTGAAAGGATTGTGAACTGGAGTTAGGGTTAAAGCAGTGTAAACATCAATTTTTTGAACTGTGCTGTTTTTCATTGGAGGTCTCCAGTAGTAACATATGATCAATGAATGAAATTACCTTTTGGAATAGTCAAAGATGAAAGGCTAATTGAATTTGATCCAACGGTTTGAATACTTTATATGCATTTATTTGAAAAATATACCAGAGGTAGGTTGAGAGCTTGATGATGTTATCTACAATGCAATTTAACGCTTTAGAATGTAAGGAAATTCAGTTGTTTATGAATTTTCCATGAGGATCATTTATGTAGAAATACATTAAAATGGTCGTTGCTCTGAATAGCCTATTACAATGTTGTTAATGAAAAAGTTTTTTGGTTCATTTATACCATGCCATTTATGTTTATCTTTCTTGGAGGACAAATGTTCAGACTTGATGCAACTGCATTCATTAGATTTAAATGAAGAAATTAATGTAAATATATATGATTCACTCCTCCTCCATGGAGCTAAGAAATTTTAGAAACAAGGATACTGTTTTCATTTTTGGCAAACATGCCTGAATTTCAAATAATAGCTATATGACTGTTTAAGAAACAAACCAAATAATAATTTAAAATAAACTATTTTAATACTGAAGTTTTTCTTTCCTTTCCATAACCTAAAATATGTTTTCCCTTTGCGCCATAATACAGAATTTAGCCGCATGGGTTTAAAGTGGAACCTAATGGGAATTAAGTTTATGTCTTCAGAAATTAATTTAATTGTGGGTTTCCTAGATACCTTAACGAAAAGGGTTAACAATATAATTGGCAATTTGGGATGTTTTACTGCAAGATTTCAATACCTTCATTCAGTATATGCATTCATTGCCTGATATAATGCTGCCAGCAGTCGAATAGAATGAAATCAGCATGCAATTATTTTTTTAATATTTGCTATCAACACAATTTTCAAATACTCTTCTGATGTTCAAACAAAATATCCATAAAATTAAGTATAAATAAAATTTGTTTTTCATGATAATTTTATTTTATTGCTCCTACTTAATTTGCAATTGTAACATTTTGACAATGGTGGTGCATTAACTCTTATACAAAATCACTTGATAGCTAAGATTATTAATGAGAATCTTTATTGTAAGTATTATAGACAGGTACCTTTACAATTTGTTTGATTGTTGATTTTTGTTCATTTCCCTTTTTCTCTAGTAAATCTCAATCCAGGAGTAGAACAAAAGATTGTTTTCATCACAGCCCGCGTACACCCTGGGGAATCACCTGCATCGTTTGTGTGCCAGGGTTAGTATTGTATTCTAACTCTCAACCTAGACCCTGATTAAACAAAACATCATAGTGGTTATTTAACATTACTGAAAGTAATTCTTATTTTCTATTTTAAAACTATAGTCTGAATTTTGGATTAATAAAGAACACATGAGATAAAATAATTTTAAAAAGGATTCCTCATCATTTATATAATACTGAAGTTGAATTTGCAATGAGGTTCCTTGCTCATGAGAAGGCAATAGGTAAGAGTTTTTTTGTGGACATACTGGGGACACCCCTGGTTCTTTTAATCCCACAAAATTAATTTTGATTGTTTGCTGAACAGCCTCCAGCAGTCTTTATAAGGATGCCTGTTTCATCTGGTTCAGTGCCAGGAGGAATGAATGAAATGTGCATGGCATGCAATATCTAACCAATAGGACCTCAGTTGTAATATTACAAGCAAATTTAATAAAGATAGGTCTTCTGGCCACTCATCTTAGAATGCTTTCTAAAGTACCAGAAAGAAGTTTGCTAGGTTAAACAGCGTAGTTAGCCACACTATGCCATTATCAAAATAGTAATACCTCCATCACTAGTGGAAACACTGAAAAGCAACCCTGGTTCATGTCTGCCCTGTTGTTGTGGACATTGACCTGGATGTTTGTTTTCATTGTTGTGTGTCTTTGAATGTTGTGCTAATGGATTGTGTTAAAGAATGGGACAAAGTTTGTCTAAGGAAGTTGTAGAATCCAAGTAATAAAAAAATTTATAAACCCAGTTAAATTTTCCTTTTTTAACTGACTTCAAAGAAAATCAAGCAGAATGTTAAAAGGGCTGTGATTTGTTACAGTTGATTCTGCTGGTGTTGTACTACTACTGAGAACACAAAAACCTCATATAATTTTTAAGTCGGGTGCTTGCCCATGAGCAGGCAACAGGTTGGAAATTTTTGTGGAATTGGTAGGAACTCTCCTGGTTTTCTTAGTCCAGCCAAATTAATTTTGGTTATTTGTTGTGCAGTCAGAATGAATTCACAGCTTTGATTGTGTATCATCATTTCTGATATCTATCTCTGATAGTGTATGTATTTTGATTGTTTCTGGGATAACTCTCCTGAATAATATGTTGACATATCTTCTGAAGTGCTGTCACTGTTAAGTGACTACAATTGACCAACTTACATGTGTGAAACTAAATAGAAAAACTGCAAAAGATTCAAAAAAGTAATGTACACAGCTGCTGAATCTTAATTTATTGATGGACAAATTTGCATTTACAACTATGTTCATCTTTTTCCAGAAATTTTCCATCTTGTTTAATAAAGAGAAAGTAATAGCTATAGAGATACCAGTATGCTACTTGTAACTTCTTTCCCTTACAGGGCTGATAGTGAGGAGTGGCAGTACATGCACAGACAAAAGATTGTGACAGAATCTCTTTAGTGTAATAATTTTCCTTCAGAGCTAATTAAGTGCTCATCTAGCATGGTTTCCAAGATTGATTTAATTGAAATTACCCTTTAGTCTCATAAGGCAAATTGATGGAAATTGCAATTGCTTTGTGGCCTTTTCAAGGGCAGGCATTTATTATATCACATTCTCAGTACAACAAGGTCAAATTATAGCATCCAGATTAAACCCTTAATGAGTTTATTAGACTTTGGTAACAAATGTTAGAACATGAGGAAAGTCAAGAAAATGCCACTTCACACATCAAAGCTCAGCCTTTAAGTGTTTTAATATCTGTCTTAATATGTTGCTTTTCTTTTCACAAAACTTAAATTACTGTGAAACATTATTAATTTTAGATCAGGATTCTATGAAGTGGATATTACAAATTGTGCTCCTGATACATAGCTTCATTGTGGATTTACCTATTGAGAGTTTTAAGTTGGCTCATGATTTTCCATATTGGTCTGTACCCATTTGAATTCTTGATATTTATCAATAATATATCTTAAAGGAAAAATAAGTTGTCCCATTGCCATCTTTATAGCCAAACAACACAACTTCTGATTGTAAGGTAATTGGGAATGAGACAGAGATCCATGATATTTCAACTGAAGCCATTTTGCAATGCAAGAGGATTTCCTTAAATCCTCAAGAATGAGAGAAACCAGAGGTGAATTGCAGGTAATGGAGCCTTATGCTAAGTTTTCTTACACTAGTAGGCAAATTATTGTGTGCAAGTTCTGTAAACAGAAGCCAACCTTGTCTTTAGACATTGAATCAAGCCCCACTGAGGCCGGAGGATCTGAGAGATGGTAGTATAAAGGGCATAGAGAGTCTTAAAAATGAGAGGAACTCAAGCTGTGGCAATATTCCATTTCTAATTTTCTTATGTAAGAACCTCAGAAAGGAATGACAAAATTGTTTTCTGTTTGTGCCAAGTTCTAGGCAATTTTGTGTAATGGACCATCAGAAGTTAAATTCAAGTTATTTTGACTATTTTAATTCACAGTTCCAAAGGCAGAAGACTTTCATCCATTACTCAGGGCTGTGGCTGAAAGTGATTCTGGGATAAAAGTCTATTGCTTAAAACAAGTACCTGATGACCATGACCACTATGTTGTGAATCAATTTTTGCTTATGACCATTTCTAATATAATACATGTATGCATATATAAGCATTCAGTGAGTACGTATAGAGTTATCAAGAGTATGTTTGCTGGTATTTCTAAAGTACTGGAAGATAGTTTGCTGTCTGATCCACCTCATGCTCTTTGTTTTGTAATCTTGTAGTAATCTGCACTTACTATTATAATCACAATTGTCATTTCTCTGTAATGTTCCTTATTCACATTTGAGATACATAACTAGGATTCTGATGAACCTCTTTATCGATTGGATCATTAACGTTCCTGATATTTTTAGTTTAACAAAGTAAAAGGTGTGAAGAACAAAATAGTTTCAGTTTTGTTCAGAGAATTTTAATTCACGTTCCTCCTTAGCAACACTCAACATTCTTCCAGAAGTTCTGACTCGCTAACCTTTTAACATATCCTTTATCCATTTTGTGAATATGTAACATTGTATATTGTTGGTGTCTAAACAGATTCCCTTTAATTGCTGGCTCAAGTACATTTATCTGTTTTTTACATGATACAGTGAAGTATTTTGGCATTTTTAGAATTTCAACATTTGTGCTAGAAAGTCGAAACAAAATCTGTTCTCACGCACCCAGATCCAGTACAACGAAACACATTTCAAATTGAAGATATTTGACCCTGTAACATTCCCTGCTTAAAGTCAAAATGAAATCCAAATTCTGCATTGTGAATTTTCCTTTTTTTTCATCAATTATTATATAATCTCTGAGAGATCAGGAATACTAGAATAGACAAAGCTACTGGATCAGTAATCCAGAAACCCACCACGGCAGCTAAATTATTTAAATACAAGAAATTACTTTTAAAAATTCCATCATAAAAAAGTTAGTCTCATGCATGATGATGATGAAGTATCAGATTGCTATAAAAATTGGTCTGGTTAATGAATGACCAAAAAAAAATGGTTTGGATTTAAATACTCTTTGGAATGGCTTAACGAAAACTGAGAGAACTGTTCCACAGACTGGTCAAGCACTAGCCTGACGTAATCATTCTCACTGAATAAAATCTTATAGCCAATGCCTCAGACCCCTCTAACACTGTTCTGGCATGCGCTTTGTGTGAACAGTAGAACAAAGCAACAGATGGCGCAGTGGCATAGTGATATACAGTTGGGAGGAAGTGACCACAGGATTCCCAGCCCCATGATGTCTAATGTCATGGTGAGGAAGCCTCCTGTTGATTTCCGTCTACTGCCATCCCTCAATTGATGAATTTGTGCTCCTCCATGTTGAACACCATTTAGAAGAAGACCTGAAGTTACCAAATAACAGAATGTCAACATTCAAGCAAGGTTGACATGATTCAGTGCACAGCAGACCATGTAATTTGCACCACATCTAACAATGTACTCTGGTAAGGAACTTCCGTATTTAATACTTGAGTGTCTGTAGCATCACATCTGAATTAGCTGGCTGGAATGTGAAGCTCAAATCTACCAGACTAGATCTGCAGCAGGCGGTGTGATAATCAACAAGAGGAAAAAATCTAATTGACTTCATCCTCACTAATCTGCCTTTCACAGATGCAGTTGTCTATGACAGTATTGATTGGAATGACCACCATGTTGCAAATGGGACCAGATCAGTTTAGGATATCTGGTTCACATGGACGAGTTGGACCGAAAGGTCTGTTTCCATGCTGTTTAACTCTATGACTCTGTGTTGTCCTTGTGGAGATGAAGTTCCATTTTCACATTGAAGACATGATCCTTTGTGCTGTGTGACAATACCACCTTGTCTAATGGGATAGATTCAGGACATACAGGCCAAACAGAGGAAGCAGCATGTGATTGACAGAGTTAAGCCATTCTGCAATCAATAGATTGAATCAAGGCTGTGCAGTGCTACCACATCCAGTAATGAATGGTGGTGAACAATTCAATAATCAACTGGCAGAGGAGGCTCCACAAATATGCCCCTCTTCAATAGTGACACAGCCCAGCACTTCAGAGCAAAGACAAGGGAAACAATTGTAGCCACCTTCAGCCTGAAGCAGCTAGTGGATAATGTCTCTTAGCCTCCACAGGAAAGTTAGGAGGTGAGTCACTTGCCACAGAAAATCTAGCCTCTGACCCATTGTTGTAATCCACAATAGCTGCTCTTGTTAATGTTCTGATCAATAGCAACCCTCAGGATATTTATTGCTGGGGATTTGGTGGTGGTATTGATTTTGAATGTGATGGGAAAATGGTTAGAATGTTTTTTGAGATTGTCATCAGTTGAAATATGTGGAGCTTGCCACTTAATCAGCTCGAACCTGAATTTGTCCAGGTTGTGTTGCATGTGGAATTGCACTACATTATCTGAGGAGTTGTGGATAGAATCTAACATCAGTGAACATACCCTGTTCTCTTAGTAAAACACTGTGGCTGTTACAGTGGATATTACCAGTGGCATTGATATTGGTACAGGTTTATTAA